TGTATGGATTGCGATAACAGTTGTATGAGCCCCTAATAAAATGTTAAAAAAAAAGAAGTAATGGAAAACAAACAAACAAACAAAAGGTTCCATACATTAAATCTTTTGATAGCCAGGCACCATCAGTTTTCTTCACCACATTTGCTTGTGCACCCATTCTGTCTTCAGTGATCATGTCGGGAGGATGAGCATCACAGAATGCCAGGTTGTTAGAACAAAGTGTTCTTGCATTGAGGGAGGACTTGAGCAGAGGCCCAAAGTCCATCCATTTCCTCAGTGTATTGCCATATAAATATATGTACATAGGCCAATACCTCTATTTTTATCAATTAATATATTTACATATGTACCCAACTATGTTTATACCTCTATCCATAGCTTTGCTTCCTAGATCTTTCCTCTGTTTCCTTTTACCTTCTTCTTGCCCCACCATTACGTTCTCCCTTCTTCTGTCTCTTACTAATTCTTCTCAACTAGATTGCTGTTACTCCAAACAGGATCTCTACGTCCTCCTTGCTGTTGATGTTAATTCCTTAGTTGTTCCCCTGTCTATGGTGTTGTTTGCTCACCACTCCCTTTCCCCCCTCTGCCTCCCCCAAGTCCCTCCAGAACCATTGGCCCCCTTGCTTTCTCCCAGGCTTGCTTCCCATGCCTATCTTATATAGGTAGGCAAAGCAACAGTAACTGAAAAAACAAAACAAAAGATTGAATAAAAAGAAAAAACAAAAACAAACAAATAAAAAAGCATACATAATTCCAGGTCTGTCCACCCACAGGTCCTGGAGTGTTCCGGGAACTTCCCCTCCTAGCCTAAAGTCGATTTGGGGGGCTACTCGGGGGCTTTGTGGCTCTGTTATGTTCCCTTCCTGGTTCAATGCACTGTGGGAAGGGTCAGACTGGATTCATTCCCCGCCACGTGTCCTCAATGTTGTTCTCTGTTCTGGTAAGCTCCAGCAAGGGCGACATCATATGTCGAGCTGTTATTGGCCCTACAATGCTCTCTGTGCCTTAACAGCTCCATGCAGGGACAACATCCTCAGAAAGTGGTGTGCTAGTATGGGGTCTAGTCCCTCACTCTCTCTTTTTCCTTCTTGATTTGCTTCTGTGTGGGAATGGCAGGCCAGCCCCTCTCCCCAACCTGTAGGTTTAGTGTTGTCCTCTGTAGCACATACTTCTAGGGCGGTGGCGGTGTGTGTGTGTGTGTGTGTGTGTGTGTGTGTGTGTCAGTTTGGCTCTGATTGGGGCCAACCCTGTAGACCTCAGATCTATGTCATTATTAAGACCCATTTTGTCATGTCAGTGCTTTTGTTTGTGCAAATCCTTAGAAGGATTTTTACTTTACTTCCCATTTACAAAGGAGCCCTGGTGGTTCTGTGGGCTAAGCACTGAGTTGCTAACCGAAAGGGGTTCAAACTCACCAGCAGGTCCTTGGGAGAATAACTCCCTTAAAGATTTACAGTCTCAGAAACCCTAATGAGCCATTCTATTCTGTTCGATAGGGTTGCTGTGAGTTGGAACCCACTCGATGGCAGTGAGTTGGGTTTTTGTTGTTGTTTATTTGGTTGGTTGGTTTTCCCTCTTACAAGGCACTTATAAGGTCACTTCGGGCTTTATATACATCCACGAGCATATGTTGGTATGTAGGGTGATAGAGTGGGAGGAAAATTTTCTTCCTTGAAAATAGTAGTTTTGTCATAAAAAATAATCAAACACTGAACTTAGATAAGGCTATAGATAGTCTCTTTGACACATAGGAAAGAAGCAATATATTCCATTTCTCCGTTGTGTAATAAGAATTATAGAAATAAGTGGCAAGTAGTTTGCATTTCACAGTGGTCAATGTAGGCCCATTATGAGTTGGTTGACCAGGCAGTCAAAAGGACAATTATAATCACAAGCTGATATTTATTCACTTTTATGAATTAGTAAAGTAGCCTATGTTGTTGTTAGGTGCTGCAAAGTGGATCCCACTTTATAGCAGCCCCATGACATAGAGTCAAACTGCCTCATAGTACCAACCAGGTCTTGGTCTTGAGGAGCTGCTGGGTGGGTTTGAAACTTCCGTTTATCAGCCAAGTGTAAACAAGCAAGCTCTTTGATACTGCATTAATTCTGACTCATAGTGACTCCACAGGACAGAGTAGGATGGCGCTATAGGGTTTCCAAGGAAACAGAGTGGCTGATAGGTTTGAACCACTGACCTTTGGGTTAGCATTAAGCACTTTACCATTGCACTTTACCATTCTTTGTGCCACTAGAGCTGCTTTATTACTTTATAGCTATATTACATCAGTAGGATAAGCACAGATTGGGGTGCCTTGGGTAATAAAAGACCTGTACTTATCATGAGAGAAAGCCAACTCTTACAGTTTACATGAGTGAACCCTAAGCAGAAGAAGGAATTAAAGGTAAAGTGCAGTGTGCTTGTTGGGGGATGGGGGTGGTAGGCCTTCGGTTACTGAGCAGTCACTATGCTCAACTCTGGATTAAAACAAAGATTAAAATGTACTTGAACACAAATTTGAATTAATAAGGAGTTTCTGGGAGCTCTGGTGGCATAGTGGATAATGCATTGGGCTGTAATGACAAGACTGGAGGGTCAACTCCACCAGCCATGCCACAGAAGAAAGATGGGGTTTTCGGCTCCCACAAGATTTGTAGCATCAGAAACCCGAGAGGTCTGAGTAGAATCAACAGTGAGTCTGGTTCTGGTGAATTTAAGGAGTTCTTAATATTGCCTTAGGTCAATCTGCTGCACAAGTCCTCTTGAGAGGATCGGAGAACAAGGATGCTATCTGGAGGAGGAAGGTGCGCTTGCCCCAAGCCATGGTGCTCTCCATTGCTTCATGTGCATGGGAAAGTTGGACATTGAATACGGAAGACCCCGGAGAAGAACAGATACATTTGAATTGAGTGCTGGAGAAGAATATTGAATGTCCCACGGACTGTTCAAAGGACAAACCAATCTATCTTGGAAGAAATAAGGCCAGTGTGCTCCTTAGAGGCAAGGATGGCAAGACTTCTTACAGACTTTGGACATATTCTCAGGAGAGTTTAGTCCCTGGAGAAGAATATCATATGTGGTAAAGTGGAAGATGACTGGACACTCAGGCATAGGAACAATTGTGAGAACGGCTCAGGCGCGTGCAACGTTCCCTTTTGTGTGCACAGGGTCACCCTGGGTGCAGCTGGCCTGCTGACACCAAGGATGGTGGTTCAAACCTACCAGCCACTCCGCAGGAGAGAGAAGAGGCCCGCTGCTCCCATAAATGTGCACAGACATGGAAATCCCTAATTGAATGGCCCTGGGTTTGGGGTAGCAAGTTCCTGGATGGCACAGATGGCTAAGTCTTTGACTCCCAGCCCAAAGGTTTCCAGTTCAAACCCACCCAGAGGCACTTAGAAGACTGACCTTATGTTCTGATTCAGAAAGGTCACAGACTTAACAAGTCTCTGGAGCAGTTCTACCCTCACTTATGGTGGTCTCGCTTCTGATTCTCAGAGCCTCTGGAACACACTAGACTAGTGCTGCTCCCGCGGGCTTCTGAGACTGAATGGTTTTAGAGGAGCTCTCCTCGTCTCTCCCCTGCGGAGGGGCTAGGGGGTTCAAATTGCTGAGCAGCCCCAGACATAAACCATTAAGCCACTGGCAACTAACAACCAGAAGACCCCCAAGGTCCCGCAGACACTCTACCAAGTTTGAAATGTATTGTTGACAATGGCGTTGAAGACGAGACGGTCTCCCACTGTAGAAGGACCCCGGAACTTAAACATGTCCACCGACTTCAGAAGCGAGTATCTCCCACAGAGGCGGCTGCGGAAACAAGGAGAACGGGAGAGAGAGACGGGTTTGTTGTTCGCGAACTGTTGACGCCTTTAATGGATGCAATGACCAGCACTCGGTTTGCTCTCTAAATAAATCCGGCTTTGATTGCAAAGGAGAGAGGCGGGCTTTCGACACTGTGGGGCCAGTCTACCCCGGCAGTAGGGTCGGCTTGGAGTTGGCACTGACCCAAGGCAGGGAGCTTGGTTTTCATTCAAAAGTGCAAATAAGAATAGGAACTGGATTGTCCTGAGGGTGCTTCCGGACACCACCTGGAAATATCTGGGGGAAATAGCCATCCTCCGAGGAGCGGAGTCTTTATACTTTTCCAGTGCCACAATCTGACTCGGCTCTTGTTCCCCACGAAGTCCCTCCGCCCCCACACCCATGCCTGCCTGTTCCCTGGAGGGCCACATTCCTCGCCCCACGGCCACCAGCACAGGATCGGGAAGGGCATTGTGGGTGCGAGGCAGGCGCACAGGAAGGTAATTGCCGGCTGGTGCCACTCACACTGAATTTCCCCACTTCTCAAATGACTGCATGTTTTTTCCCCACAGAAAATTCCCCGACTGCTTGCTGCACAAAGCAGGAAAGTAAAAAAGCCTATGGGATACAGACTTTTACAACTTGCGTGCATATTGAAATTTTGAAATAGTTATAAAGAATATTTAATCTAAGAAAATGACGCGTCATTTTCTACGTTTTAGATTCCCACCGTAGCCATTCAATTATTCTAAAGAATTGTCAACATTCGCTAACCAGATTCAGTCAGCCATAATGCACTGTGAGCCTTTGCAGAACATATTCAAGTGCTTTATCGTCATTACGAATGACAATCTCATTCTAAAAACTAGCTCCCTTATTTGTGCACATTTCATAGGAAGGATAAATACAGGTATCTAGCTATTGTTATAACTATAGACATGCTAATATTGAAATTCCTTTAATTGGGAGAAGAGAAAACACGAATAATTTTTGGTTATTATAAAAAGTGGTCAAGAGGGCAGATCCTGTTCAAATGCATGTTCAGACTACTCAATGCTCCTAAAGGCCACTCATTTACCTACATGAGTCCATTAAAAATAAAATAACCTTCCTGGTACTGGGGAAGAACTTAAACATATTCCTTTGAATGCTCATCTCTTTCTCGTTCCACTTACTTTTCAAGTAAGCCTTTGGCCATACGGATTCCAACCAATAACTTCAAAGGGCTGACCTAATTATACATTAGCTTTACAAGGGCTTGTAAGGAGATTGACTATTTTCAGTGTGCAGGCTGGCTTCTATGTCTATTTTGCCTCTGATTTGTCACTGTCATCTATAGAATGAGTTGCCATGCTGCGAGATAAGGAGCCATAGTTCAGAATAAAGCACTAGAACTGTCACTTTGTTTTTCATTTTTTAACTCAAAACTGAAGCATTTGCCTGCAAACAAAAAGATTAATGCATCCTCAGATAAACAGGTAAATGATACCTAGCTTTCTCATTCTGATCAAAGCCCACATTTCCCCCAGTCCTTTCTCTGTCTTATGACTAACCCAGTCATTGGATCTGGGCTTTTTGTTTGTTTGTTTCTACCCACGGGTCCCCAAATCACATGCCAAAGGTCAAAGCTGAGAACCTTGCAGAAATAGTCGCCACTGTCTCCATCCAAGCCATAATCTGGCCACCAAATGTATTTCCATGATGATTTGCGTGAGGCGGGAGGACTAGTTCAATACTCTGAACTGAAGTGGCCCTCGTGGAAACCCTTCCTTCTTCTTCATCACAGTTGGGATCTGAAAGGTGGGGTACAAACATCATGAAGGCGTTAACCACAGAACCTGGCCATAGGGCATTTCCTTCCCAGCAACACACTCAAGTCACGAGAATTTTAATAAGAATGAAATTATTCCCAAAGATTTTAAACCACTGAGGAAGCACATACAACTGGTTCTTAATGCAAGACTTTCATCTGAATGGTGGATCTTCATAGCTAATGATTCAAAATAGCCTTTAAGAGATTGTATTCCTGGTGAGTGCAAAAGATTAATATACTCAGCTGCCAGTACAAGGTTGGGGATGTGAGTCCCCCCAGAAGGCCTGATGACCTACTTCTGAAAAGCCAGCTACTGAAAAATCCATGGAGAGCAGACAGACGTTACGTGGCACAGGGAGTGGCCATGAGTTAGAATGAACTTGATGGCAATTGGTTTATCCCAAATGGTCTGAAAGGTGGCTCCTCCCTATTTTGATTGAAAGAATGAACATAGTTAAACTTGAGTTGTTTGGGGTGGAAGAAAGATCAAGTCGGACCATGAAGAAGCTTCTGGGATTAACAGATACACTGTGTGTGTGTGTGTGTGTGTGTGTGTTTTGATGGTTTCAGGGATGCATATACGTGTCAAAACTCATCAATTGTACCCTTTAAATGCGGGCCATTTATTGCATGTCTCATTTATCAGGACGTTGCTTATTGGTCCAGTTGGGAAGATTTCTGGTTTCTTTATGTTGATGTGTAATTCACACTGAAGGCTGTAGTCATTGATCGTTATCAGAAGTGCTTCTTGTCTTTCGGCTTTCAGCAAGCCAGGTGTGCCGCCTGCTTCTCGGAGGTGGTTAATGAGACTTCCTCCAGTCCTGAAGGTGGACACCACCCTCACAAATACCTTTCCTGATTTTAAACCACGAACGATCCCCTTGCTCTGTCCGAATGTGTGCTTCTTGGTCATCATAAACAGAACAAACAGTGGAGTTGTCAAGGACTTCATTTTCCTTGAATCCACAACCCATGCCCAGGCAAGCAGCAGTCAAGAAATCTAAGGACATGTTCCATTGGGCAAATCTGCTGCAAAGTGGTAAAAAGCAAAAAATGTCACTCTAAAAACTGAGGTGCAGTTGACTCGAGCCATGGCAGTTTCAATCCCCTCATACGCATGTGAACGCTGAACGCTGAATAAGGCAGACAGACCAGAGGGAAACGAATGCTTTTGAACGATGCTGTTGGCAATGAATATTGAATATATCCTTGACCGAAGGAAGAATGAGCAAATCTATCTTGGGAGAAGCAGCCAGGGGGCTCCCTAGAAGCGAGGATGGTGAGACTTCATCTCACACATCTCAGACATGTTCAGGAAGGGCCAGGCCCTGAAGAGAAACATCCTCTCTGTAAAGAAAAGGCTCAGTGTAAAGCATTAACTCGCGTGTCTGAAACACTAGGCTCAAAGATGGCAATGATTGTGAGTGTTTCCTTCTTTGACCTGGGGTCCAAGGAGCGGGGATGGACTTAGTGCCACCTAAGAGCAGAACCATCTTTATTCCGTGCCGGTATAGCAGCCGTTCATTCGGGCTGCGAATAAGGAAAGCATCCTAGGTATAAAGGGTCCCAGACACAGAATCGGAAACATGCTTGCTGTGCTATGCACTTCGGAAAGAGGACTTTCCGGGGGGAGCGGGTTTGTCATGAATGCAATCATGAACAGAAAAAACACAACAAAGTTGCATTTCTCTGCGTCCTCCTGCTTCTTCTGAATCATATCTGCTTCATTTACTGACAAATTGGTTTATACTCTCAACAATGAAGAAATCGTTTACCCTGGCTGCAAAGAAGTAAGAGGTATTCGATGATGCTTCCTGCATCATCAAGTGAATCACCAGCGAGGCTTCAACCTCACGTGCCGTGGCTGGTGTGCTTCTTGGTGGGGGGAGGCGGGGAGTGGGGGGGAGGCGGGGGAGGATGCACCAATCAGGCAGCCGTCCTGGTTGCGCTGTCGGAGGCAGCGCTGAGCTTGCCGGACTGCCGCACCAGATGCACCCAGCTGCTGCTGGGAACTGGGCCGCTCTGCACAGCCGCACAGAGGGGAGCAAAGAAGTGGGGCTTCACGGGGTCCTTCCGTTCCAATTCCAAATGGGATTATTAGTGGATGGACTTTTTCATTGCTTTTTCTTTCTTCACTGGTCATTTTAGTCCCCTGCACACAACAGGTTGGTACTTTCCCATTGTGCTGGCATAGAGTCCCAAGTTCTTCCCATGGCCTCCGAGCCCTTCCTCTCTGGTCTGGCCTCTGCCTCCCTTTCAAGTCCCCTCCAGTCTCACTCACACCCACTCCCCAACCTCTCTCCCACCCCCCAATACACTGTCTCCCCATATGTTCCGGTCTCATTGGTCTGTTTCTTCCAGTTTCCCCAAACTAAGTGTTCGCTTCAACATCAAGGCATTTGTATATGCTGTTCTCTAGCAATAGCAATTCCCCCTGGACACCCCTCCCCCACACACACACATTCTTTCCCATCTTTTCCCTATTCTTCCTGGCTCATTCCAGTCATCACTTCCTCTGGGAAGCCTACTTTCACTTCTATCACTAATTCCCATGATGACGATAAGTTCTCATAACTGCCTTCCTTTCGCAGCTATTATTTTATGCTTGTTGGTAGATCTTTCATCATCTCACCTACTAGACACTAGGCTCCCTGTGGTCAGGGATTGTGATTTTTCCCCCGTCCCTCTTCTAACATTAGTTCCTAAACATGGGTGCTGTGGCAGTTATATAATCTCCTGTCAACTTAAGCGAAGGGGTGGAGTCTACCTAGCCTGTCAACCAGGTTATAGCCAATGATGCCTTTGTGTGGGCATGGCCTTCTCCTGAGGATTCTGGGAACTCCTGTCTTCCTACCTGGCAGTGGGACACACACTTTCTCTGCTTCACATTCTGTTAACAAGCCACAGGAAGCTAAGCTATACAGATGGCAGCCAGAGCCTAGAGCGGGAGGAGCCACATGGAGAGCCGCACCAGCACTGAGATGCTGCCACAAGATTTTCACCCACTGGACTGTGATCTTCCTGCTTTCAGCATCATTGCATGTGTTGCGTGAGTCTGGAGAAAAATTTATGGATTAGTCTCAGACATATGGGCTAATATCAGACTTATGGGCTAATATTGAACTTATGGATTTGATCTGGACTGGGCCAGGATGTTTTCTTAATATAAAATTACTCTTGCGTTTAAAACTCTCTCTCACACATATGAATGTCTCTAGATTTGTTTCTCTAGTCAACCGGGACTAACACAGGTGCTCAAGAATTATTTGCTGAATGAACGAATGAACAAACTTTCTGATTTATTATTCATCCTCCTTATTCTCAAGAAGCTGTCTTTAGGTAACATCTTTGCTGCCATTTTATTATGAAAACTATCGTGTTCTGCAGAATTTTTATTCTGTATAGCTTCTAGGGGCAGAATGTTCCCCTTAAAAAACAGAAACAAAACACTAGTATTTGTTATCCCTAATGCCTTTTTCAGCATTCTTACCATGTGGCAAACCCTTTCTGCTCTTATCTATGTGGTTAGTATACTACCACTCATCATTATTATGTGCTGCATGTATTATCTCATTATAGCTCCGAAAGGGAAATAATAGTACCGTAATGTCCTGGTCAGGAAACAGATTCAGAATGGTGGTTAGGTTCCAAAGTTCCCACGGCCAGAGCAAGGACTAGATTAGAAGTCTGTTTGATTACACACCCATTCTTTTTACTACACTATGCTACTTTTATGTAATTCCTAACTGTGTCTTTAAGAATGTGTATGTCAGTCAGAACAGGTACGTACAGTTTTTATTTAGCCTTGCTTTAGTGCAAGAAAAGGCTGGAAGTCTTTTTAATGATTTGAAAGCTGCACATCATTCTTCATCCGCCACATCAGATGATCTCAAGTGGAAACCCCTGTAAGTGAACTGGACTGTCCCTTGAGCACTTGCTGCGTATTAAAGAAACCGAACTACTCCTTTGGACTTAAGGGGAAACACCCTAGGGTGAGAAGCCACAGACGAGAGCTATCCCAACATTGCGGACTTTGAAATCATTGGACTTTGCTTCAGATCTCTTGCTGTCAAGATTGTCCAGTAATTAGCAATTTAAGGATGACGTATATTTGCTATTTTCATATTTGCTTTGGTTTCTGCAACATATCTTAGCTCTGCAGGGATAGTTTTGCCTTAGTGAATGACCATTATCAACTTTTTGGCCTAGTCTCTCACCTCATTTACGTTTTTAATCAGTATAAGTGAACATCCCATTCATTTCAGGCTAATAGGCTTTCTGATATATGTATGTTTTCCTTTTCTCACTAGTATTTATAATTCTACACCATTGTTTTCATGGGCCTTTGTTGTGGCCCCAGTCTCATTAAATCCTTGATGACTTCAATATTTTCTTCATTTATTATGTTGTTGCTTCTTGGTCTAGTTGTGAGGGTTTTTATTATTTTCCTTATGTTGAGGTGCAATCCATACTGACGACAGTAGCCTTTGGTCTTCATCAGCAAGCCACTTTATGTCATCTGAATATTACGTCTTGTTAATGAGTCTTCCTCCAGTCCTGATGCTGCATGCGCGTCATATTTTCCAGATTCGCAGATCGCTTGCTCAACATTCAGACTGGATAGGCACGGTGACAGGTGGTATGCCTGATGCCCATTTGCCTGATTCTCCTTCAGGCAGTGTCCCCTCGCCTCCCTTTGTCTTCTCTATCAGCTGCCTCTTGGCCTATGTGCAGGTTCTGCATACCCAAAATTATTGTTCTGGAATTCCTGTTCTTCCCAATCTTGCCTACAATTTGTTGTGAAACACACATTCACATACCTTTGCATAGTCAATAAAATACAAGTCAACCTCTTCCTGGTATTCACTGCTTTCAGCCAAGATTTCGCTGACATCAGCGATAATATGCCTCATTTCACATCTTCTAAACCCAGCTTCAATTATTTCTGGTAGTTTCCTGTCTGTGCACTGCTGCAATGTT